AAATGTCAACTCTAAATACTGGATGCGCCCCAAATTTGGCTATAAAGATGCTTACTATAGCTTACAAAAATATTTACAAAAAGGCAACACTAGTTAAAAAGAGATTTGGTTCAATAAATCATGGAATTTCATAATCGGATAATAGAATTATACTAAATAATCTTATAATTGAATATTTAATAATATGGTAAAATATGCTAAGTTTACAAAGCATCGTATACAATATGATCTCACTTTGGTTAAAAAGAGATGTGATAACGGTGTGAAGGAGAATGGGAGTGAGTGGATCTGTAACGGTTCCTGCACTAAAATATATCAACATGTTAGTGAGAGCTAATAACTCTCGTAAATGTTCAATTTTTACTTTTTTTTTTTTTTTTTTTTGCTTTTCTAGGTTTTCCCCCATGGAACTATGCTACCTTTGCAGTAAGGAAAAAAAATGACTAAAAAGATTACACAATGAAAACATGAATCAAAATCTTGAAAACAAAAAGATGAACTATAGCCAAAAATGAGAAAAAAAATCCTCCCAGCTAGTTTACAAAGAGATCTGATACACAGATGTGCTGAAGCTTCCCGGACACTCCCTGAATTCACATGTGTTTTTGCTACAAACCCATGTGAAACTTGCAGAAATATTTAGCTATCAGTACAAAAAAAAGAGAGAGAGAAAGATGAACCAAATAAGGCAAACTGGAATTCTAAAAACATAGAAAAAATCTTATGAATTCTTTAAGTAAACCAGAACTGAACTTGTTCTGACATTCTTAATAAATTTTAAAAGTAATTTAAATACTATCGACAAAGGAAGAACCCTAAAAAGAAACAATGCAATATCCTGTCTTTTTTAAAGATCTCCAAAATATTTGATTAGCCAGCAAATTGTCTTCAGTTGATTAGACCACTATTATTGTACAATATATTTTCCAAATATTTTAACTACATATGTAAAAAATCTGACTACTTATCCTGACTACTTTAATAACATTTATTACAGATAAAAACTTAGTTTTAATATTTTTCTAAATCTTTCCTGAACAAATCTTCCAAGGGAGAACTGGATACTTTCAACATTAATTTTCACCAATCATCTTTAAAGCACAAAATAGTATAAAGCAATTCTAAAAGTGCACTTGAGTATGCAACCTTGCAAGGTTTCAATACGTTGGAACGTAAGAAATCCCCAAAATTCACTGAATAATTTTTTCATTAGGCTCACTGTCACCTTAACTGTAGTGTGTTATGTGTAACATGTTATATGTGTTATATATCCCCTCCATTAATAGATATAATATCCCCCCTCAAATAAAACAAAAGGGATTTTTTTTTTTACTCTTCTACTTCTGTTATGGAATCAAAGCCATCTGTCTTGGCATTACCATTTTTTAACCACTTGCATTACAGGTTCTCTTCAGCTCCTGTCTTGGTTATCTTAATAACCTTCTATTTTGCTTCCCTAGCTCTAATTTTTCCCCCACTTGAGTCCCAACAGCATTAGCCTTCCAGATAGCTTAAATACCACTTCAATCACATTACAACTCCGCTCATGAACTTGGATGGAATTTTTTTCTACATGCAGCAGAAAGCAAACTCTTCCTAACGGCATTCAAAATCTGGTTCTAATCTCAGTCTCTGCAATGGGCTGGCCTAGCCCCATTTTGTTAACAAGGACTTACTCAAGTCTGTCCCCCCAAGTCTCCTTGCCAAGGCAAGGCCTTCCTCCAGCACACTCAACTGAAATGCTGTTATGGTTTTAACAACCAATACAGATGCAAATAAACTCTTCTTTCAAGAATATCACCAACACTCATAGTCTGACCCACTGAATAAACATTAAGTCATACTGTCCAGAAGTTAGATGAGTATATCTCAAATCTAAGTTCATCATGTAGGGTTAATTTCCTTGTGGACACTTGTATTGGTGATCCTTCTCACAGTTCAACAGGCAGTCTGGTAAATGTTCAACTAATATCTGGTGAACATGGAATGACTGCATGTTTAGGTTTTATACAACCCAACATAAATGTGTGTGTGAACCTCTTTAAATATTCATGAAAAATGGACATTATCTCTTCATTACACTTCCCACAGACTTCTTTAAAATTTTCTCAAATACATACATACATGTGTTTACAAAACATATTTGTTTTTATATGTGAACATATATAAAATAACAATTATATATATACTCATACATTTGTAAGTTTCTATGTACCTCAAAGACTCCTAGCAAAATTAATACTGTTATACATAGACTCAAGCATGTGTTCCCTAAGACCACACCTTTGTGTTTGGTAATTCATTAGGAGGATGCTGAAGACTCAACATATCCATGGTTTAATCATGGCTTAGATTTATTAGGGCAAAAGGACACAAAACAGATCCAGCACACACAATTTCCCTAATAACTAAATTACAAAAATTTGTGCTGATTACAGGGGAACTCATTAGAGACTTGCTGTTCAGGGTTCCTTATTAGAGTTGATCACTGAGGTATCCCTTGTCTACCATGGACTAAAACTCTAGCCTCTTACGTGTTTAGCATAAGAAACATTATATAGAACAGGCACAGTGAGCCACTCTTACCATTTAGGTAGTTTTAGGACACATAGGGAACTATTTCAAGTTTCCAGATCAGCCAAGCATACCCCTGTTAGCAGGCCTTTCTAAGGACATCAGTCATGGGTTCGCTATATGAATTCTTTTCTATGCAATTCACTGATGATTTTTATGGGCGAAACGGCAGAGTGAACTATAGGTGAACTATAAGGTTCATACATAATTTTTTAAAAAGAAAATCTTGCATTTAATTAGGCACACTCTGCCTGGAATGGCAACTACTAACCAAAAGTTATGCAATTCTGAAATGATTTACTTATTTTAGATGTTTTGGGTTTTCTGGTTTTCCTTGTAAAATAAGGTTATCTTTCTCCAACCAGCCTTTCTGCAGTCGTCAGGCTAAAGGAATTAACATAACATCTAAAGGAAACAGACCTTCTGGGATGAGTTGCTTGTCTGAACGTTGGGTGCCAGAGTGCTGACAGGTGTTTAAGGCCCAGCATGTGACCAAATCGTCACAGCGACTCCACGTCAGTGGCAGTTTTCATTTTACAGAGGGGGTTTGCAGAAGCTCACTCCCATGGGCCTGGGATTTAGGCTTCAACCGCTTTGTTCCAAACCCTCACTCTCAGCTTTACACTAACAATCTCCACCAACATGAGAGGCCCCTTGCTAAAAAGCATTTCCCTCTAACAGTATGGCTTCTTCAACTGTTTGGTTAGAAGAGAATTATTCTTAACCCTAATTATATGGACTAAAATCAGATTTTGGTTGGAAGACAAAGGGGCAGGGTTTAACCCAGCATAGTTGATTTTCTTTTTCATTTTCAACTCTTGCAAAGTACATATCACACTCCTTGCTCATTAAAACTATCAGAAAGCTTTCTGCTCAGAAATTCTTTTTCAAAACACACATATCCTCCCCCTTTTCCTGACATCCCCCCTTCTGAGTTTGGACAAACCTGTTCCAGAATCTTGGCATTGCACTTAGCAGCTACGAGAACCTCTGAAAGTTAGGTATGCCACCTGAGCTTCGGTTTATTTGTTCACTAAATGGGAATCCTCTCTCTACCAACTTGCAGTGAGGATGAAATCACATAGTATTCTTTAACAGCCAAGACACATGTATTTGGTGAAAAAATGATTGCATCTAGGACAAACTGACTTGTGAGAAATAATGCCAAATCAGTTTTGGGCAGGAGGTAAAAGGAGGTATTGGAGGAGTGTCCCAACCACCAGGTGTCAGCACTGGCCGGGGAAGACTGGCGCTAACTGTCCAAGGGGTTGCAGGGAAATCACCTCAAGGACCCAGGAGGAGGCTGTCACCTGCCCCTGCAAGACACTGGTCGATTGCCTCGGGCCTTGCAACAGCGTTAAGCACTGGCATCTTTCTAGCTTACATTAACAAATGCCTGTAGTATAATTAATTAACCGAAGAGGCATAAATTTGTCATCATAGTTCAATGACAAAAGCTATCCTCAGAGGACTACTGCTTAATTCTGAGGATCAATAGTGTTTCATCTCTCCTTTGGTTTGGCCAACCAGCTATTTTCTGGCATCTGCAGGCTTCGATATTGCTACAGTCGACATTTTTCTGGCCCCAATTCCACAGCTCATTGACATTATTTCCTATACATTATTAATAAGATGACAAATAAAGTCAGAAGTCTTTTAGGGCAAAAAACAGACCAGTATATTTGAAGGCTGGACAACCACTGACTATTAATTATCCTTGGCCTCGGGAACTCTAAAGGTCACGTTTAAAAAAAAAAAGTCAAAATTTTCTTGCAAAGAAAAACTTGCAGAAAATCCGTCAACCCGCGTCTAGCCCTCAAGTTACTCAATGGACGCGGCCACACCGGCTCTTTCTGTCCCCTGTTCATGGTGCCCACCTGGAGTGGCCAGGGCTCTGGAATGCCCTTTGGGAACCACACTAGTGGCCAACTGCTAAGACGGCTAACTCCAGGAGGATGCACAGTTCTGGGATGAAGCAAAGACTTGCCTCGCCTGCCAGGAACACTTGACTCAAGTCAAGCCCGGCCTCGGAAGGGGTGCCCACGTTCCCGCCTAATGGACAACGGAGAAGCAGGCAGTTAGGCTCAGCCCAGGCTCTGGCAGCGGGAGTTATTTTTCGTTGTTGTTTGTAATAGCAGCTCAGCCCGGTCGTTGCATTTCTCCAACGTCTTTAGAGAACACAGAAGCCTCCTCTTCCCTTTGGCCATCGCTCCCATTCCTAGAGAACCTGGGAGGGCACGGCGGCCGCTAGCAGCCATCCGCAGCGAGGCGCCCAGGCCGAAGGAGGAATCTCTGCACAGCACCGATCAATAACTCCTGGCCGAGTCCAGGCGCGTCCCTGGAGACAGGGGCAGCCCTGCCGGAGCACGCGCGGCCACCGCGCGACACGCTGCCCCCTCGGACGCGCGGCGCGGGGGGCGCCTTACCTGGAGGACTCGGCCGTGAAGCTGCCGCCGTCCAGCAGCCGCATCTTGCAGAAGAGGACCCCATTGACGAAAGGCACCGAGGAGAGTTCCTCGAGCTCGAAGTCCACCTTAAACTTAAACTTCTTCTTCTTCATCATCATGAGAGCCAGGCGCCGGCGAGCGGGGTGCGGCGGTGGCCCCAAGGGGCGCGCAGGCAGGCGCCTCCGCCTCAGCTCGGCCGAGCCCCGGATCCGCCCAGCCCCATGGCCGGGGCCGCGAGCTGCGCGCGGAGGCGCGGCCGGGGGGCGCCGCGGACCGGCCGGGCCCGAGCCCGGGCCGGAGGCCGCCGCCGCCGCTGCCTCTCGCGGCAGTCCGGACCCGAGGGAGGCGGCGGCTGCGGCGCGGACGCCGGCCGCCCGTGGGGGCCGGTCGTGCTGCAGCTCGCCCGGGGAGGTGAGCTCCTTGTCAGCGCTCCGCTCGCCGCCGCCGCTGCCGTTCGTCTGAGAGCCGGAGAGAAGCTCAGAGAACGGCCGCCGCCTCAGCGCCTCAGCGCCGCGGAGCCCCGGGCGCCCCCAGCGGCCGCGGCCTGCATTGCGGCGCGGGGCGGAAGCGGCAGCGAGGGCGGGGAGATAGGGGGCGGGCAGCCGCTTGGCCGGGGAAACTACCCCCGCGAAGGCAGTTAGCGCGTCACGCCTGTGGGGACGTTAAAAAAAGACAAACTCAACCAAAAAAAGCTTTCTTCTACTGCTTCCTCTCAGCCTTTCCTTTCAGTTTTTGCACCGCCTCTTTTCTTTCTCTCCCCTCCAGTGATTCGTTTCCCTTGAGAATCGTAGGTGGGGAGGAGCAATCAAACTTCAGGACACTGTTTTGGTAGAAATTCTAAAACTTAGATTTGCTTGAAATTAAGTAGCCTTCAAATATTAAAATTGGGGGCTTGCACTATGGCTCAAGTGGCTGATCATTCCCCCTTGCAAGAGCTGGCGTCTCTTATGTGTCCCAGCTGCTCCCCTTGCCATCCTATCCTGATTATGGCCTGGGAAAGCAATTGAGGGTGGCAATTGAGAGTTCTTGGGACCCTGCACCCGCATGGGAGGGCCAGAGGAGCTCCTGGCTCCTGGATTTCAATCAGCTCCGTTCCAGCCTTTGTGGCCATTTGGGGAATAAACCAGCAGATGGGAGATCTTTATGGCTCTCCTTCTCTCTGTAAAATCTGCGTTTCCAATAAAAAGAAGTAAATCTCTAAAAAGTATTAAAACGAAAGGTAAGGTCAGGAAAAGAAATGGGATCAAAATATGTTGAGTTCCTACTACATGCTCAGGAACTGTGCTGGCACAGCAATTTTCTCTTGTTTTAATATGCATCACAGAATAAAACATAAAAAGTACAAAAGGAGTTACGTCTCTTTTACAATTTAGTTGGCCATGCTTATAACTGAGAGGTCTAAAATCAAGGTGTGCAGGGCAGGCTTTAAAAAAAACCAGAGGTGGGCTCCATCGCTCAATTGGCTAATACTCCACCTGCAAGCACCAGCATCCCATGTGTGCATGAGTTTGTGTCCTGGCTGCTTCACTTCCTATCCAGCTCCTTGCTTATAGCCTAGGAAAGCTGAGGAAGATGGCCCAAAGCTGTGGGACTCTGTATTGATGTGGGAGACCTGGAAGCAGCTCCTGCCTCCTGGTTTCAGATCAGCTCAGCTTGGACAGTTGTGGTCTTTTGGGGAGTGAATCAGTGGATGGAAAAATCTATCTCTCCTTCTCTCTGTAAATTCTAGAAGTAGAGCAATTAGATATTGTAGTTTTGTGGTCCACTTGATTTTATAATGTGTGGGCTTTTTTTTTTATTAATTACATTGTGTTATGTGACACAGTTTTATAGGTACTGGAATTCCCCCCAACCCTCCCCCCATAGTGGATTCCTCCACCTTGTTGTGTAACCACAGTTCAAGTTCAGTTGAGATTCCTTCATTGCAAGCATATACCAAGGACAGAGTCCAGCATCTTATTGTCCAGGTAAGTTCAACGGCTTCATGGGGAGACCTTCTCTGGTCTGAAGGTAAAACCAACAGATTAAAATCTCGATCAATTAAAAGCCCCATCAGCAACAATATATAATGTTATGGAATTAATTGACATAGTACTGAGTAAACAATATGTTAAAATTAAATGCAAGTTCTTAACAACGTCCTGTGACTACTTCAATGACGTTTTAACAATCGAGGTGCAAAACGGTTTTAGGAGGGGTGTGCAGAGAAATCTTCAATACCTTGGTGAGGAATACTTATTCTTTGTGTCCTACCTAATAAGGTATATGTGAGTCCATGCTGACCAATCTTTCCTTGTTGTTTTCTGCCTATCTAGTCTAATTTGTGAGTGAGTGAGTGTGTGTGTGTGTGTTTGGGAGGAGGCTCTGGAGTGACCTTGATGGTCATTGCAGAGGGTGGGACCCCAGAGTTGGAAATAAGTAAGGACCAGAGAAAGCTCCTCTCCCTAGTCCTGAAGGGAGTTTACTATTCTTCTGATTCAGAGGACCGCTCAGGGTTCCTGGCTGTTGTTCCGATGACCTTGGATCCTATAAGAAAGGATTCGGGCTTCTTCCATCCCATGGGATAGGTCCAAAGTTTGGGGGGCGGCGGATATCCTCTGAGTTCTTGGCCTCTGAAGGCATTCCAGTTCTCTGTGGTCTCTTTGGCAGTTGTGATGTAGTCCTTGGTGCCCGTACTGACAGTCCTTGGTGGGAATCCGAATGTGTGATTTTTAGGCTGAGTTCTTGCCTTTTTAATTCTAAGTTGGTGGGGTGGTCATTTGTTTGGCTTAACAGAGAGATGAAAGTGAATAAACATCTGTGCATAGGTGAGGGCCACCAATGGGGGAGTGATACAGTCAAGAGAGGGCTGGAGAATGGTCTATGAGAAGAGATGGGGAGGAGGCCAGAGAAGGACCCATTTTCATGGCCCAGAAGGTACTACCCAAGAACCGCTACAGCAAATCTGGTGAGATGAGTCCAGGTAAGTGACCTGGTGGCCATGACAATTTATGAGAACAGAATCAGCCATGAGAGTAGAAGAGAAGTTTGATTTACCTGAGAAGAGAAGCTCTGACTAATACAATTGGAGCGATTGGCAGAAACTGAGCAAGCCACTCACGTCTTACAGTCTAGTGGTATCCAGTAACATTAGTTACTGGGAAAGCTGGGGACCATCTGAATGGAACCCTTTTTACTTTGTTTTTACCCTGTCATTGAAACCTACATGCTGGCATCATTGCTAAGTGTGTTTCAAGGGGCTTCCATCTGGTTATGTTCCGTGTGTCCATGCCACCAAGGAGCTGTGGAATGGCATGAGTCTGATTTGCTTTTAGTCCCTGGCTTCCTCTGAACTGCTCCCAGTCCTGGACCTGGGGCCTCTTGGAAAACACAGACAAGTGAGCAGGTAATCCTGTACAGTGCAGCAGCCTTGACTGTGAGGCCCATGGGATAGTGATAGAGTCTGCTATGAGAGATCCAGATAATATCTAACCAGGATCAGCAGGAGAATTGGAGGCCTTCTGGGGTGAGTGACATTTGAGCTAAGGCCTGAAGGCTGAGTGTGGGGGTAGGGAGCGTTTCCAGGAAGAAGCCAGTGCCTGTGTTGCAAACGGAACTGAAATTAGTTCTGTCTGGCTGCAGTTTAGAGTGGGGTGTGGTGACAAGGCGAGAGCCTTAACGTTCTAAGGCAGAAGAGTGATCCAGTCGGCTTTGCAGTTTATAGAACTGTCCAGCTGGAAGGTGGGAGACAGTCTGTTACTCTTTCTCAGAGCCATGGCTTGATGTTTAAACACGTGGAAGGGGACAGGATCAAGAGAGGAAACAAATGCCCTGATGGAGTGTTTGAGCAAAGTGGAATAACTACAGGGCTGAGGACAGGGCAAGGGACACAGACCAGTGTAGAGTTGAAATTGGGAGATAGCTGGATGTCTTTCACATCTTGCTTTCGAAGCCTCCTGTGATTTGGAGCCAGAGAACAAACCCTGGAAGATGGGGTTCATGAAGAACAGTTTTCTGGATCACCAAGTGAGGCCCAGAGGGCATGCAATGGAGAAGAGAGGTGAGGGGACAGAGTGCTTCTACCACATATCTGTCTTGGTTCCCTAGGAATCAGAAACCACTCTAGGTATTTTATCCAAGTATCACATTGCTATTGAAACCGTTGGAAGACCTGGAGGAGCAGAAGTCAACTGACTGTTGGATTCAAAGTCTCTCACTTGGATAAACATTATCTATGTTGTCTAGCAGCTGGTTTTCCTTTACTTCCTGGCATATGGCAATTTTCATTTGCCAATCTGCTTGCTGTTAAGTGGGATCGTGTTACTAGTGTTAGCCTGGGAAATGTGAGAGCAAATAATGGTTACTTCCAGGACTAGATGGGGAGAAGTCCTTGAACTGTTCTCTAGGTGTCTCTTTCCCTCCATGATGATCATGGTGGAGCCATGGGGTCAGCATGCAGGAGCTCCCAGCCTGAAGCCGCTCAGACCTCTGAGTTAGTCCGTGGAAAGCCACATTTTGCCTATGAAAAGAAAACTTTTATTGTCTACCCTACTCAGACCAGTTTATTCTAAGTTACAATATAGCTAGAATGGAAAGCTGACAATAGGACCTGCTATTGCTGCCCCATCACCAGTGACTCTAACACCTGTAAAAAACATGAGAGGAGTCTGCATAACACATAGATATCATCATACCTTGCTTCCAAGTGGCCCAGCCAACAGAAGAGAGCCTCCATTTTACTTTTTTTTTTTTTTGGTCACGAGTACATCCCTTTGATAGATTTGTTTATATCATGAACTTGAATCGATTAGATTTTGATGTCAAGGTAAATTTTCCAAGTTGCAAAATGAACAGCTCTGTAATCCTGAGCCCTGAGGTGACTGTGTGGCAAATGGTTGCCCCTTTACCTTTCCACCCCTAACCAGGAACGCGAAACAATCTTTCCTTGTGACTTTTTGAGATATTTTTCTCTAATAATAATGATAAAAAAAATTGTTACAGGAGCAGGGCTCTATTGTAAAAGTCTCAAACTAGCGAAACCCTAGACAATAAAGGAAACTACTACGGGAGGCTGGAAAGCGGAAACCGTTGTCTAGCCTGTTTTCTGTGGCTGTCAACGCAGTGCCACACACCAGCCGAATTATAAAGAAAAAGAGGTTTATTTTGGCTCCCAGTTCTGCTCTGAGGTTGGGGGACTGCATCTGGCAATGGCCTTCTTACTGGCAGAGTCCCC